GTGTGTATGTGCCAGGCAGCAGCAGGCCTATTCAACCAGAGAATGATTGCTGCCAGTTTTGACAGCCAGCTGGTAATGAAGGGAATTATAGGAAGAGGATTTTCTGTCTCTCTCTGTCTTGTTCATTGCCTCTTGTTTCAAATCAAATTATTTATTTAAATGATAAAACACTGAATCATACACCCCAAAAAAAATAAATCTTATTGTGTTATTAGTATTCACCTGAGAAAGCATACAGTCAAATTATTATTATTATTTATTATTACAATACAAACGTTAGCAAATCTACTCTTAACATATTTTCTGTCTCATTCACTGCCTTGAAGCATCCTGTTTGAAAGCAGGCTAGTCATAACATCTGAATGATAGACCTACATTTTGCCATACCATTTCCACCAATTGAAGCCACTAAAAAGGTGGGTTGGTGTTGTAGGCCTGAGGATGTATAGCCTACCACCACAAACACATTTATCAAATCAAGAGAGATAGAGGGGAGGACAGGGAAAGAGACATACACACTGTCCCGTGTGGCTCACTTGGTAGATCATGGCACTTGCAACGCCAGGGTTGTGGATTTGATTCCCACGGGGGACCAGTATGAAAATGTATGCACTCACTACTGTAAGTCGCTCTGGATAAGAGCATCTGCTTAATTAGTGAAATGTAAAAATGTAAATGATGCTAGTTCTGAAGCTGGCTGTTACCAGACCTGGGTCTACAGGCCCTGACAGAGGTTAAATTCTGCCTCATTGTACTAATCTAAGGGTTATTCCCACAGAGGTTAAATTGTGCCTCATTGTACTAATCTAAGGGTTATTCCCACAGAGGTTAAATTGTGCCTCATTATACTAATCTAAGGGTAATTCCCACAGAGGTTAAATTGTGCCTCATTGTACTAATCTAAGGGTTATTCCCACAGAGGTTAAATTGTGCCTCATTGTCCTAATCTAAGGGTTATTCCCACAGAGGTTAAATTGTGCCTCATTGTACTAATCTAAGGGTTATTCCCACAGAGGTTAAATTGTGCCTCATTGTACTAATCTAAGGGTTATTCCCACAGAGGTTAAGTTGTGCCTCATTGTACTAATCTAAGGGTTATTCCCACAGAGGTTAAATTGTGCCTCATTGTACTAATCTAAGGGTTATTCCCACAGAGGTTAAGTTATGCCTCATTGTACTAATCTAAGGGTTATTCCCACAGAGGTTAAATTGTGCCTCATTGTACTAATCTAATGGTTATTCCCACAGAGGTTAAATTGTGCCTCATTGTACTAATCTAAGGGTTATTCCCACAGAGGTTAAGTTGTGCCTCATTGTACTAATCTAAGGGTTATTCCCACAGAGGTTAAATTATGCCTCATTGTACTAATCTAAGGGTTATTCCCACAGAGGTTAAGTTGTGCCTCATTGTACTAATCTAAGGGTTATTCCCACAGAGGTTAAATTGTGCCTCATTGTACTAATCTAAGGGTTATTCCCACAGAGGTTAAGTTGTGCCTCATTGTACTAATCTAAGGGTTATTCCCACAGAGGTTAAATTCTGCCTCATTGTACTAATCTAAGGGTTATTCCCACAGAGGTTAAATTCTGCCTCATTGTACTAATCTAAGGGTTATTCCCACAGAGATTAAATTGTGCCTCATTGTACTAATCTAAGGGTTATTCCCACAGAGGTTAAGTTGTGCCTCATTGTACTAATCTAAGGGTTATTCCCACAGAGGTTAAGTTGTGCCTCATTGTACTAATCTAAGGGTTATTCCCACAGAGGTTAAGTTGTGCCTCACTGTTGATGTAAAGCTGATCAATAGATTTTCCTGTAAAGCTTCAGGTGAAACATGACTAAATAACTCCTCTTATTCTACTGGGGGTTGTCATGGTTGTCATGGTTGTCATGGTGAGGATAAGAGGGTTCTGAATAATGGATACAATGAGTTGTATGGCTTTGAGGTTTTCCAGGTTTCAACCTATTGACCTCTAGCCTGCAGCCTCCTTTGTCATTGTATTCACAGTTACCATTCATACCCATCCATTCTTCTAATTCAGAGTGTGTGTTGTGTGTATGACCTACACTACCAGTCAAAAGTTTGGACACACCTACTCATTCAAGGGTTTTTCTTTTCTTTTTACTATTTTCTACATTGTAGAATAATAGTGAAGACATCAGAGCTATGAAATAACACATGTGGAATCATGTAGTAACCAAAAAAGTGTTAAACAAATCAAAATATATTTTATATTTGAAATTCTTCAAAGTAGCCAACCTTTGCCTTGATGACAGCTTTGCACACTCTTGGCATTCTCTCAACCAGCTTCATGAGGTAGTCACCTGGAATGCATTTCAATTAACAGGTGTGCCTTCTTAAAAGTTAATTTGTGAAATTTATTTCCTTCTTAATGCGTTTGAGGCAATCAGTTGTGTTGTGACAAGGTAGGGTTGGTATACAGAAGATAGCCCTATTTATTAAAAGACCAAGTCCATATTATGGCAAGAACAGCTCAAATAAGCAAAGAGAAACGACAGTCCATCATTAATTTAAGACATGAAGCTCAGTCAATACAGGACATTTCAAGAACTTTGAAAGTTTCTTCAAGTGCAGTCGCAAAAACCATCAAGCGCTATAATGAAACTGGCTCTCATGAGGACCGCCACAGGAAAGGAAGACCCAGAGTTACCTCTGCTGCAGAGGATAAGTTCATTAGAGTTACAAGCCTCAGAAATCGGCAATTAACTGCACCTCAGATTGCAGTCCAAATAAATGCTTCACGGAGTTCAAGTAACAGACACATCTCAACATCAACTGCACAGGAGAGGTGTGATGGTGTGATGGTGGTTTGCTGGTGACACTGTCTGTGATATATTTAGAATTCAAGGCACACTTAACCAGCATGGCTACCACAGCATTCTGCTGCGATACACCATCCCATCTGGTTTGGGCTTAGTGGGACTATCATTTGTTTTTCAACAGGACAATGACCCAAAACACACATCCAGGCTGTGTAAAGGGCTATTTGACCAAGAATGAGAGTGATGGAGTGCTGCACATCACCCGACCTCAACCCAATTGATATGGTTTGGGATGAGTTGGACCGCAGAGTGAAGGAAAAGCAGCCAACAAGTGCTCAGCATATGTGGGAACTCCTTCAAGACTGTTGGAAAAGCATTCCAGGTGAAGCTGGTTGAGTGAATGCCAAGAGTGTGCAAAGCTGTCATCAAGGCAAAGGGTGGCTACTTTGAAGAATCTCAAATATAAAATATATTTTGATTTGTTTAACACTTTTGGTTACTACATGATTCCATATGTGTTATTTCATAGTTCTGATGTCTTCACTACTATTCTACAATGTAGAAAATATTAAAAATAAAGAAAAACCCTTCAATGATTAGGTGTGTCCAAACTTTTGACTGGTAGTGTATGGTTGTGGATGGAGGGCTCCGTGTTTCAGAGAGAGAGAGAGGAGAGTCTCTGCCTGCGTACCTGTATGTGGGTCAACCTACCAGTGCGTATGGTGTGCTCTCCACCGGCGCAGGAGAAGTCTCCAGAGGTGAGCAGGAAGCAGGTTGCCTCTTTCTTGGTGACGTTGTTCCCCCTGACCGACCGGGCGTGTTTGCGGCCGTGGCCGTGCCGTAGGTTCCACCTCTCGCTGGGTGACAGCGGCTGGGTCAGGCTGCACCCATCATCCGACGACACAGCCAAGTTGGCGTCTCCGTTCTGCTTGGAGTCTGACAGGAGGACAGGAGGACAGGAGTTGATTCATAAAGCGTAGGATCTAGGATCAGGTCCTCCCTGTCCATGTAATCTTATTCATTAAGGTATAAATGGCTAAACTGATCCTGGATCAGCACTCCTACTCTGACAGAGTCGTGTTGGTGTCGCCATTTTGCCCATATCTCCCACTAAGGGTCCCAGACTAGGGGTGCTGTCCCTCTGTCCTACTCATGTCATCTTATTCCATGAATCCATGATCAGCACTCCTACTCTGAGACTCTTTGTGAATACAAGCCGGCCCTGACCTGGGTTCAAAATACTATTTGTAATAAATTAAATACTTTAGCTGGGCTTGATTGAGCTTGCCTGGCGCAATCGAACCAATGGATTATTCCCACAAACTGCTAACCCCGCCCATCTGACACTCCAGGCAGGCTAGATCAAACGCCAAAAACTATTGGACATATTTTGAGTAGTATTTGAACCCAGGTCTGCAGGAGACACAGTGCCAGGCTGACAGTAAATGCCAAAGCCTTTACTCAACATCCCCTCAGGCCTTAGAGAGAAGGTTGAGCTACAGAGCCGCAGTGTAATGCTACTGTGAAAACACCATTTTCTCCCTGGGCAAATTCCATTTATTGGAAAATGATTTAAGCCCATGAATGTATTTGGACAATGTACTATAGTACATGATTACAGTAGAAAAGATAGAGCTCTATTTTCCCATTTGTAAAACAACACCGCAAATACTACAGCATCTAATACCTATTGGTGAAAAAAAATGCACTACTGTAGTATTCATTACTGATACCTTCAATTTGAGTTTAAAATGGGTAAAATGAGTGATGGTATAAATTAAATGGTAAATCCATTTATCATTAAGGCGTCGGTTAGTACACAATGATTCAGTTTGATGTATACTGTAAGTGGAGTAGTGGTTTGAAAAGGTTGAATGAGGTCTGAGTGTGAATGAGTGGAATTGGTTGATGGTCTGAATAATGTAACATCCACTTATCACTGTGGCCTATGGTATATCATACTGACGCTTCAAAAACATCAAGGTAAATATAGTGGTGGTGGGGGGGGGGGGGGGTTAAGTACGGCATGGTGTATGGAGTATTATTGCTGCCAACAAAAATGTAATGTGTCTGACCTGAGTGGTTCTAGCTGATTTTCTCATATCAATGCTTCAGAAACATAAGCGTGAAGTGACAGTGTGATGAATCAGTAGAGTATGGAGTGATATTAGTGCCAAAACATTGAATTTGTATTCAGATTCTAATTCTAATTGGTCTAACCTGAGCGGTTCCTGTTGATATTCTCCTCTGCAGCCAGCGGACACGTATCACTCTGAGTACTGTCCCTGGGAGAGTTAGTGACGGACTTCCCGAACGAGGCCGTGTCCGTGGGAACGTCCGGGTTCGGGTTGTGCGCCTTTTTCTTCTTAGGCAGCTTCTGTTTAGCCATGGCCAGGGAGTAGTACATCCCAAAGTTATTGACAATAACAGGCACGGGCATGGCGATGGTCAGTACCCCCGCCAGGGCGCACAGAGCGCCCACCATCATGCCCAGCCACGTCTGGGGGTACATGTCCCCGTAGCCCAGGGTAGTCATGGTGACCACGGCCCACCAGAAGGAGATAGGGATGTTCTTGAAGTGGGTGTGTTTAGAGCCGCGGGGGTCATCCGGTTGGGCCCCTATCCGCTCTGCGTAGTAGATCATTGTGGCGAAGATGAGGACGCCCAACGCCAGGAAGACGATAAGCAGGCAGAACTCGTTGACGCTGGCTTTCAACGTGTGGCCGAGAACCCTCAGACCGACAAAATGCCTGGTCAGCTTGAAGATCCGGAGGATCCGGACGAAGCGGACTACTCGTAGAAACCCCAGGATGTCGGAGGCTGCTTTAGAGGATAGACCGCTGAGGCTCATCTCCAGATAGAAGGGCAGGATAGCCACGAAGTCAATGACATTTAACATGTTCTTGATGAAGAGCAGCTTGTCGGGGCAGCACACGATGCGGACCAAGAACTCCAAGGTGAACCAGACCACACAAACGCCCTCCACCACGGTCAGAATGGGCTTGGTCACCACCTAGAGTAGATCACATTATACATTAGATTATACATTAGATTAGATTATACATTAGATTATACAGTAGATTAGATTATACATTAGATTATACATTAGATTAGATTATACATTAGATACATTACATTCGATTATGCATTAGATTAGATTGTACATTAGATTCGATTATACATTAGATTAGATTATACATTACATTCGATTATGCATTAGATTAGATTATACATTAGATTAGATTATACATTACATTCGATTATGCATTAGATTAGATTATACATTACATTCGATTATACATTAGATTAGATTATACATTAGATTAGATTATACATTAGATTAGATTATACATTAGATTACATTATACATTAGATTACATTATACATTACATTATACACACATTACATTACATTATACACACATTACATTATACTTTAGATTAGATTATACATAAAATTAGATTATAGATTACATTAGATTATAGATTAGATTTGATTATACATTAGATTAGATTATACATTAAATTAGATTATACATTAGATTAGATTATACAGATTATTGAATTTCAATGTAGGGATCATTGAAGTATCAATCTATTAATCTATCTATGATCTAAATTCATTTGGTCTCTAAAATGTGCTTAAAAACGTTGGCCATAATACAAAAATACAAGACAATACAGTACAGTCGTGGTCAAAAGTTTTGTATTGGTCTTCACAAAGTTTGCTGCTTCAGTGTTTTTAGATATTTTTGTCAGATGTTACTCTGGTATACTGAAGTATAATTACAAGCATTCCATAAGTGTCAAAGGCTTTTATTGACAATTACATTAAGTTTATGCAAAGAGTCAATATTTGCAGTGTTGACCTGTCTTTTTCAAGACCTCTGCAATCTGCCCTGGCATGCTGTCAATTAACTTATGGGCCACACCCTGACTGATGGCAGCCCATTCTTGCATAAAATGCTTGGAGTTTGTCAGAATTTGTGGGTTTTTGTTTGTCCACCCACCTCTTGAGGATTGACCACAAGTTCTCAATGGGATTAAAGTCTGGGGAGTTTCTTGGCCATGGACCCAAAATGTCGATGTTTTGTTCCCCGAGCCACTTAGTTATCACTTTTGCCTTATGACAAAGTGCTCCATCATGCTGGAAAAGGCATTGTTCGTCACCAAACTGTTCTTGGATGGTTGGGAGAAGTTGCTCTCGGAGGATGTGTTGGTACCATTCTTTATTCATGGCTGTGTTCTTAGGCAAAATTGTGAGTGAGCCCACTCCCTTGGCTGAGAAGCAACCCCACACATGAATGGTCTCAGGATGCTTTACTGTTGGCATGACACAGGACTGATGGTAGCGCTCACCTTGTCTTCTCCGGACAAGCTTTTTTCCGGATGCCCCAAACAATCGGAAAGGGGATTAATCAGAGAAAATGACTTTACCCCAGTCCTCAGCAGTCCAATCCCTGTACCTTTTACAGAATATCAGTCTGTCCCTGATGTTTTTCCTGGAGAGAAGTGGCTTCCTCGCTGCACTTCTTGACACCAGGCCATCCTCCAAAAGTCTTCACCTCACTGTGCGTGCAGATGCATTCACACCTGCCTGCTGCCATTCCTGAGCAAGCTCTGCACTGGTGGTGCCCCGATCCCGCAGCTGAATCAACTTTAGGAGATGGTCCTGGTGCTTGCTGGACTTTCTTGGGCGCCCTGAAGCCTTCTTCACAGCAAATTGAACCTCTCTCCTTGAAGTTCTTGATGATCCGATAAATGGTTGATTTAGGTGCAATCTTACTAGCAGCAATATCCTTGCCTGTGAAGCCCTTTTTGTGCAAAGCAATGATGATGGCACGTGTTTCCTTGCAGGTAACCATGGTTAGAGGAAGAACAATGATTTCAAGCACCACCCTCCTTTTAAAGCTTCCAGTCTGTTATTCTAACTCAATCAGCATGACAGAGTGATCTCCAGCCTTGTCCTCGTCAACACTCTCACCTGTGTTAACGAGAGAATCACTGACATGATGTCAGCTGGTCCTTTTGTGGCAGGGCTGAAATGCAGTGGAAATGTTTTTTTGGGGGGGATTAAGTTCATTTCATGGCAAAGAAGGACTTTGCAATTAATTGCAATTCATCTGATCACTTTTCATAACATTCTGGAGTATATGCAAATTGCCATCATAAAAACTGAGGCAGCAGACTTTGTGAAAATTTATATTTGTGTCATTCTCAAAACCTTTGACCACGACTGTATAATACAGTAAAGTACCATACAGTACAATGCAGTACAATACAGTACAATGCAGTACAATACAGTACAGTACAATACAGTACAATACAATGCCGTACAATACAATACAGTACAATACAATGCAGTACAATGCAGTACAATACAGTAAAGTACCATACAGTACAATGCAGTACAATACAGTACAATACAGTACAGTACAGTACAATACAGTACAATACAGTACAATACATAGAAAAAAGGTCCAATACGTTTAGGTCCCTATCCAGAAACAATGAAATTATCATCATATTGCTTTCACCTGTCCACTCTCAGATCTCCACGGGAGGCTAGGGGGTAGAGGCTCTGGGTTCTTTCTGGACAGGATCATAGTACTTGGTCAATTGACAATGAGGATCCCTCTCTCTTACCTCCACCGAGACTACCTCCTCTGTGTGGTTTCCCACCACCACATGTTCCGTGCGGTTCTGCAGGTCGTTGAAGTACTCGTGGGTCTCCAGACAGAACGTAGTGATGGAAACCAGAATGAAGAAGAGGGAGGCAAACGCTATGCCCTGAAACAAGACAATCAACCAGTCAATCACTAAATTAACCAATCACTCAATTAACCAATCACTCAATTAACCAATCACTCAATTAACCAATCACTGAAATGTATTTATAAAGCCAGCAGTTTTCAGAAAGTGGCTTTATGGTAGAACTCAATAGTAACACTCAAAGTGCCTTTATAGTACAACTCAACTGCAGCCCTTAGTTAAACTGTTTACAGAAGACAACCATGGCAGGTCTGCTCTGCCTCTGACCTAAAGCTGGGATGATAAACAGAAAATGATCGATACCGACTGAATCAACCATTTATCAAGTACTTTTTACTGATACCGATAATAACAATAAGTAGCCTTTACTCAAACATTTTAATAAGTCTACTAATATGGGGTTATTGCTAACTGGACAATTGATAGCTACAACATTCAAAGTAGTAGTAGTAGTTTTAAGGGTGATAAAAATACACATGAACGTTATGAATTTATCGTTAACTGTATCATTACTGTGATAATTCAGTCAATTTATCGTGATATGGATTTATGCCCATATCACCCAGCTCTACTCTGACCTTAAACTCAGTTTCACCACCGAAAGGCCCACCATTCACCTGCTTTCCTGCTCACTTCCCACAATAACTCTGTCTGTCTGTGTTTGTGTTAGCATTGCGTTTTGTGTTAGCATTGTGTTTTGTGTTAGCATTGTGTTTGTGTTAGCATTGTAAATAAATCCAAACAATGTACTGTACTGCTGATTGATTTGTGTGGGGAGGGCTGAATGTAGAGATGGCAGGTACTAAGTGCCTGAATGGCATTGATGGCACATACACATATTTAACCAGCTGCCTGAGGAGGAGTAGCAGAGAGGAGCACAGTAGAGAGGTAATACAATCTGTCCATGATGATATAGTCAACACTAATAACCCCAGAGTCCTCTCACAGTAACAAAGCCGTCCCAAATTGCACCCTATTCCCTACATAGTGCACTACTTTTGACCAGGGCACATAGGGCTCTATTGTCCAAAGAAGTGCACTATATAGGAAAAAGGGTGCCATTTGGAATGCAACTACAGACTACACAAGGGAATATGAAAACAGCCCATTTTCAGATGTGTTGATTGTCGATAGTGACATTTGTCAACCTCCGTACTGTGGCCACATCATAACCAACCCAATGCTGTGATGAGTAGCTAGTTGACTAATGGCTAAATCACACTAAAGGCTAAACCACACTAAAGGCTAAACCACACTAAAGGCTAAACCACACTAAAGGCTAAACCACACTAAAGGCTAAACCACACTAAAGGCTAAATCACACTAAAGGCTAAACCCCACTAAAGGCTAAATCACACTAAAGGCTAAACCCCACTAAAGGCTAAACCCCACTAAAGGCTAAATCACACTAAAGGCTAAATGATTAACTGCTCCATCATTATGGGTACATCACATTTTTTATGTTTTTTTTATTTTTTTTATGAAAACCAGCAATCTTTATTGATGGAATAAAAAATTGTGATGGAAAGACATATACAGTACATCTCCACAAAAAAAAGCTTTAGTTCCTTTATCATCATTACAACATTCATCAGTTAGCGTAAAGCAGCAGAGGGAGGGTCCCCTGGGTCCCTGGTCTCTGGGTCCCTGGTCTCTGGGTCCCTGGTCTCTGGTCCCTGGTCTCTGGGTCCCTGGTCTCTGGGTCCCTGGTCTCTGGGTCCCTGGTCTCTGGTACTTGGTCTCTGGTACTTAGTCTCTGGTACTTGGTCCCTGGTCTCTGGGTCCCTGGTCTCTGGGTCCCTGGTCCCTGGTCTCTGGGTCCCTGGTCTCTGGGTCCCTGGTCTCTGGGTCCCTGGGTCCCTGGTCTTTGGTACTTGGTCCCTGGTCTCTGGTACTTGGTCTCTGGTACTTAGTCTCTGGTACTTGGTCCCTGGTCTCTGGTCCCTGGTCTCTGGGTCCCTGGTCTCTGGGTCCCTGGTCTCTGGTCTCTGGGTCCCTGGTCTCTGGTCCCTGGTCTCTGGGTCCCTGGTCTCTGGGTCCCTGGTCTCTGGTACTTGGTCTCTGGTACTTAGTCTCTGGTACTTGGTCCCTGGTCTCTGGGTCCCTGGTCTCTGGGTCCCTGGTCCCTGGTCTCTGGGTCCCTGGTCTCTGGGTCCCTGGTCTCTGGGTCCCTGGTCTCTGGTCCCTGGTCTCTGGGTCCCTGGTCTCTGGGTCCCTGGTCTCTGGGTCCCTGGGTCCCTGGTCTTTGGTACTTGGTCCCTGGTCTCTGGTACTTGGTCTCTGGTACTTAGTCTCTGGTACTTGGTCCCTGGTCTCTGGTCCCTGGTCTCTGGGTCCCTGGTCTCTGGGTCCCTGGTCTCTGGTCTCTGGGTCCCTGGTCTCTGGTCCCTGGTCTCTGGGTCCCTGGTCTCTGGGTCCCTGGTCTCTGGGTCCCTGGGTCCCTGGTCTTTGGTACTTGGTCCCTGGTCTCTGGGTCCCTGGTCTCTGGTACTTGGTCTCTGGTACTTAGTCTCTGGTACTTGGTCCCTGGTCTCTGGGTCCCTGGTCTCTGGGTCCCTGGTCCCTGGTCTCTGGGTCCCTGGTCTCTGGGTCCCTGGTCTCTGGGTCCCTGGTCTCTGGTCCCTGGTCTCTGGGTCCCTGGTCTCTGGGTCCCTGGTCTCTGGGTCCCTGGGTCCCTGGTCTTTGGTACTTGGTCCCTGGTCTCTGGTACTTGGTCTCTGGTACTTAGTCTCTGGTACTTGGTCCCTGGTCTCTGGTCCCTGGTCTCTGGGTCCCTGGTCTCTGGTCCCTGGTCTCTGGGTCCCTGGTCTCTGGGTCCCTGGTCTCTGGGTCCCTGGGTCCCTGGTCTTTGGTACTTGGTCCCTGGTCTCTGGGTCCCTGGTCTCTGGGTCCCTGGTCTCTGGGTCCCTGGTCTCTGGTCCCTGGTCTCTGGGTCCCTGGTCTCTGGGTCCCTGGTCTCTGGTACTTGGTCCCTGGTCTCTGGTCCCTGGTCTCTGGTCCTTGGTCTCTGGTCCCTGGTCTCTGGTACTTGGTCTCTGGTCTTTGGTCTCTGGTCCCTGGTCTTTGGTCCTTGGTCTCTGGTACCTGGTCTCTGGTCCCTGGTCCCTGGTCTCTGGGTCCCTGGTCTCTGGTCTTTGTTACTTGGTCCCTGGTCTCTGGGTCCCTAGTCCCTGGGTCCCTGGACTCTGGTATCTGGTCCATGGTCCTGGTCTCTTCCCTGGTCTCTGGTCTCTCTGGTCTCTCTGGTGTCTAGGGTCTGGGAACTATAATAAGTATGACTTGTGATTGCAGAATGAGTGCCATCAATCTTGGGATGGCAAGACAAATATCCACAGAACATCTCCTATCTGAGCCCATATCATTTTACATTTACATTTTAGTCATTTAGCAGACGCTCTTATCCAGAGCGACTTACAGTTAGTGAATACATATTTTTTTTATACTGGCCCCCCGTGGGAATCGAACCCACAACCCTGGCGTTGCAAACGCCATGCTCTATCAACTGAGCTACATCCCTGCTGGCCATTCCCTCCCCTACCCTGGACGACGCTGGGCCAATTGTGCGCCGCCCATGAGTCTCCCGGTCGCGGCCGGCGGCGACAGAGCCTGGATTCGAACCAGGATCTCTAGTGGCACAGTTAGCACTGCGATGCAGTGCCTTAGACCACTGCGCCACTCAGGAGTCATAATATCATCATAACAACATTAATCAGTGTGTGTAATGCAGGGTCTCCTGGGTCTCTAGCCCCAGGGGTCACTCACAAGGCCCTCTGGGGTTTCTCCTGCACAACAGAGGAGTGTGGATCTGTGGAGGTGTGGGGCCAGCCAGAGGACAAAGACAACCAGTCTGCCTCCCTCCCTGTCTGTCTGTCTGCCTCCCCCCGTCTGTCTGTCTGCCTCCCCCCATCTGTCTGTCTGCCTGTCTGCCTCTCTCACTGTCTGTCTGCCTCCCTGCCTCCCTGTCTGTCTGCCTGCCTCCCTGTCTGTCTGCCTGCCTGCCTCCCTGTCTGTCTGCCTGCCTCCCTGTCTGTCTGCCTGCCCCCCTGCCTCCCTGTCTGTCTGCCTGCCTCCCTGTCTGTCTGCCTGCCTCCCTGTCTGCCTGCCTCCCTGTCTGCCTGCCTCCCTCCCTGTCTGCCTGCCTCCCTCCCTGTCTGCCTCCCTACCTCCCTGTCTGTCTGCTCCTCTTTGTCTTTCAGAACGTGAAACGTTGAGTATGGCTCTTGAGAGTACCAGTGGCAAGCATATTTATCTGTGGTCTGAACAGATTTCCACAGTACTTACTACACTGCACTGAGAGATCCTGCAGACCTACAGTCTGTCCACACACACAAACACCAGCTAAACTCATGCAGATGTTTCCATTGTGTCCCTTCATCAATAACCTCCTAGCAGAGACACAACACAGCCAGCCAGACAGAGATCACACAGCCAGCCAGACTGACAGACAGCCAGACAGCCAGCCAGACAGACAGCCAGACAGACAGACAGACAGCCACACAGACAGCCACACAGACAGCCAGACAGATAATTAAAACAGAACCATCAGTCTGACTAACAGGTGCATGTTGAGGAGACTCTATGATATGCAGCTCTTGGTGCCTATCAGTAGCAGGAGCCGTATTATAACCTAGTATTACAACCTAGTATTATAACCTAGTATTATAACCTAGTATTATAACCTATGTATTATAACCTAGTATTATAACCTATGTATTATAACCTAGTATTATAACCTAGTATTACAACCTAGTATTACAACCTAGTATTACAACCTAGTATTATAACCTAGTATTATAACCTATGTATTATAACCTAGTATTATAACCTAGTATTATAATAATAATAAATAATATGCCATTTAGCAGACGCTTTTATCCAAAGCGACTTACAGTCATGTGTGCATACATTTTTACGTATGGGTGGTCCCGGGGATCGAACCCACTACCCTGGCGTTACAAGCGCCATGCTCTACCAATTGAGCTACAGAGGACTATTATAACCTATGTATTATAACCTAGTATTACAACATAGTATTACAACCTATGTGCTGTGATAATTGTTTGTTTGCTCTATAACCTGTTAGTTCATATGCCTTGACACCGTGATACATAAGCCTAAAGGCCGAGACAATAAGACATAATAAGGCATATTAAATTCAACCACACCTTTGTTTTATCACAAAAACCGGATAGCAACCTCTGTCCAGTGAAGTCCACAAAGCATATTGCATGGTACAGGAACAGACAGTTACATGACCTACAGCATGGTCAAATAAGTTAATGTTTCCGACATTTTCCGACCACTAAACAACTATTGATTTAGAACAACAGAGAGTTACCGCAAGTTGCAAAGAAAACCGGAGCTACCTCCACTATTCCACCATTTCAACTTCAACATCATCAAATCACCTCTGCTTAGTCTAACACAGTGACAACTAAAAGATAGCAAAAAACGATTTAGTCCAATAAGCTAAATATGATGTGGTTGTCCATGGTTCTGATTTCTGTGTGTGTGTGTGTGCGTTTGTGCAAGTAGAAAAACATGTTGACTCACCCTACTTGTAGAGAAACACCAATGCCATCCTCCTCTCTTTCATGTTGATGAAATGGTCTATCACTTTGTCATTAAGTAGACTCTTTTATTTTTTGTTGTCCTAGGCTACCTGGCTAAAATGCTTGCTCGCTAGCCTAACTTCCATTCATGGGCAACGTTAGCTAGTTACCATTAGCCTTGTACATCTAGCTACATATTTAACATACATCCTCTCAGGCCAGGGGCACAACAATGTATGAATTAATGGTTGGATCAGAATCACCTTTATAATCATTGGCCAGTATGGAGAATGAGGTAAAACCACAAGTCCAAATCCCTATCTCCATCCATGGCTAATTTAGGAAAGGGCCAATTTTAGCTAGCTGGCTATAGCTGTTATAATGCTCACTGGCTTCCCTTGCATTCAATGCTACGGGCGGCAACAATGTCATACTTGTTTGGACCAGACAGCATCAGATAGATGGCCTACACGTAGAGACAGAGGGGCACAGACTCATCTCAACATCAACTGTTCAGAGGGGACTGCGTGAATCAGGCCTTCATGGTCGAATTGCTGCAAAGAAACCACTACTAAAGGACACCAATAAGAAGAAGAGACCTGCTTGGGCCAAGAAACACGAGCAATGGACATTAGACCGGTGGAAATGTGAGATTTTTGGTTCCAACCGCCGTGGCTTTGTGAGATGCGGTGTGGGTGGACGGATGAACTCCGAATGTGTAGTTCCCACCGTGAAGCATGGAGGAGGAGGTGCTATGGTGTGGGGGTGCTTTGCTGGTGACACTGTCTGTGATTTATTTAGAATTCAAAGCACACTTAACCAGCATGGCTACCACAGCATTCTGCAGCGATACACCATCCCATCTGGTTTGGCCTTAGTGGGACTATCATTTGTTTTTCAACAGGACAATGACCCAACACTCCTCCAGGCTGTGTAAGGGCTATTTTACCAAGAAGGAGAGTGATGGAGTGCTGCCTCAGATAACCTGGCCTCCACAATCCCCCGACCTCAACCCAATTGAGATGATTTGGGATGAGTCGGACAGCAGAGTGAAGGAAAAGCAGCCAGCAAGTGCTCAGCATATGTGGGAACTCCTTTAAGACTGTTGGAAAAGCATTCCAGGTGAAGCTGGTTGAAAGAATGCCAAGAGTGTGCAAAGCTGTCATCAAGGCAAAGGGTGGCTATTTGAAGAATCTCAAATATAAAATATATTTTGATTTGTTTAACACTTTTTTGGTTACTACATGATTCCATATGTGTTATTTCATAGTTTTGATGTCTTCACTATTATTCTACAATGTAAAAATAGTAAAAATCAAGAAAAACCCTTGAATGAGTAGGTGTGTCCAAACTTTTGACTGGTAGTGTGTAAAAGTGTCCCGTGCTTCTACCCTTGAAGGGGTGGGCGGCTGTGTTTGGTCCAGGTGCCTCCCAAAAGGCTGTCTTTATATAAACTGCCTATTGATAAGAGGACAGCTGACCTCCAATGGAGGATAATACATGGAGCTATAGCCACCAACATGTATCTGGTACACCTGGATCCTACTGTTGGGGAGGGGTGTACATTATGTGCTGAGTCTGAAACTCTGGCACATCTGTTTTTACAGTGTGCCAGGTTGGTCGGGATGATTGACCTGATCACTAGTTGGTTCTCAGCTCTGGGAGAGGTTTTCTCTTCCCAACTGTTTATATTTGGGCAAAAGTACAGGTTTAGTCGAAGGGGTGTAGTTATCTTAACCTTGTGTCAGGGGCAGCTAAATTAGCAATTTGGAAGACACAAAAGAACAGTATTCGGGGACAGGGGTCTGTGGACGTGGTGGGCATGCTGGAGGGGATGTTGGCAGCGAGACTGAGGGTTGAGTTTTCCTATTACAAACTGGTAAATAACATTGGGCTGTTTATTAGCATATGGGGTATTCAGAGGTTGTTGTGTTTAGTTATAGTGGAGGAAGATTTAGTGTTGTGTTTTTCATTGACGTTTAACTATGTTTTTGTTTGTTTGAGTTTTTATTGTTTTGTGTGTTCCCAGACCCACAAAACAGTACTTGACAAAGCTTGTGGGAGATGAGAAATCTATCTAACGGAGTTGTAGAAGTTAACAGTGACTTGGTGGCATTACAGTAGGGAGCTGAGAGAACACCAGGTTAACAGTGACTTGGTGGCATTACAGTAGGGAGCTGAGAGAACACCAGGTTAACAGTGACTTGGTGGCATTACAGTAGGGAGCTGAGAGAACACCAGGTTAACAGTGACTTGGTGGCATTTCAGTAGGGAGCTGAGAGAACACCAGGTTAACAGTGACATTTCAGTAGAGAGCTGAGAGAACACCAGGTTAACAGTGACTTGGTGGCATTTCAGTAGGGAGCTGAGAGAACACCAGGTTAACAGTGACATTTCAGTAGAGAGCTGAGAGAACACCAGGTTAACAGTGACTTGGTGACATTACAGTAGGGAGCTGAGAGAACACCAGGTTAACAGTGACTTGGTGGCATTACAGTAGGGAGCTGAGAGAACACCAGGTTAACAGTGACTTGGTGGCATTTCAGTAGGGAGCTGAGAGAACACCAGGTTAACAGTGACATTTCAGTAGAGAGCTGAGAGAACACCAGGTTAACAGTGACTTGGTGACATTACAGTAGGGAGCTGAGAGAACACCAGGTTAACAGTGACTTGGTGGCATTACAGTAGGGAGCTGAGAGAACACCAGGTTAACAGTGACTTGGTGGCATTACAGTAGGGAGCTGAGAGAACACCAGGTTAACAGTGACTTGGTGGCATTACAGTAGGGAGCTGAGAGAACACCAGGTTAACAGTGACTTGGTGGCATTTCAGTAGGGAGCTGAGAGAACACCAGGTTAACAGTGACATTTCAGTAGAGAGCTGAGAGAACACCAGGTTAACAGTGACTTGGTGGCATTTCAGTAGGGAGCTGAGAGAACACCAGGTTAACAGTGACATTTCAGTAGAGAGCTGAGAGAACACCAGGTTAACAGTGACTTGGTGACATTACAGTAGGGAGCTGAGAGAACACCAGGTTAACAGTGACTTGGTGGCATTACAGTAGGGAGCTGAGAGAACACCAGGTTAACAGTGACTTGGTGGCATTTCAGTAGGGAGCTGAGAGAACACCAGGTTAACAGTGACATTTCAGTAGAGAGCTGAGAGAACACCAGGTTAACAGTGACTTGGTGACATTACAGTAGGGAGCTGAGAGAACACCAGGTTAACAGTGACTTGGTGGCATTACAGTAGGGAGCTGAGAGAACACCAGGTTAACAGTGACTTGGTGGCATTACAGTAGGGAGCTGAGAGAACACCAGGTTAACAGTGACTTGGTGGCATTACAGTAGGGAGCTGAGAGAACACCAGGTTAACAGTGACTTGGTGGCATTTCAGTAGGGAGCTGAGAGAACACCAGGTTAACAGTGACATTTCAGTAGAGAGCTGAGAGAACACCAGGTTAACAGTGACTTGGTGGCATTTCAGTAGGGAGCTGAGAGAACACCAGGTTAACAGTGACATTTCAGTAGAGAGCTGAGAGAACACCAGGTTAACAGTGACTTGGTGACATTACAGTAGGGAGCTGAGAGAACACCAGGTTAACAGTGACTTGGTGGCATTACAGTAGGGAGCTGAGAGAACACCAGGTTAACAGTGACTTGGTGGCATTAAAGTAGGGAGCTGAGAGAACACCAGGTTAACAGTGACTTGGTGGCATTACAGTAGGGAGCTGAGAGAACACCAGGTTAACAGTGACTTGGTGGCATTACAGTAGGGAGCTGAGAGAACACCAGGTTAACAGTGACTTGGTGGCATTACAGTAGGGAGCTGAGAGAACACCAGGTTAACAGTGTCTTGGTGGCATTACAGTAGGGAGCTGAGAGAACACCAGGTTAACAGTGACATTTCAGTAGAGAGCTGAGAGAACACCAGGTTAACAGTGACTTGGTGGCATTTCAGTAGGGAGCTGAGAGAACACCAGGTTAACAGTGACATTTCAGTAGAGAGCTGAGAGAACACCAGGTTAACAGTGACTTGGTGACATTACAGTAGGGAGCTGAGAGAACACCAGGTTAACAGTGACTTGGTGGCATTACAGTAGGGAGCTGAGAGAACACCAGGTTAACAGTGACTTGGTGGCATTACAGTAGGGAGCTGAGAGAACACCAGGTTAACAGTGACTTGGTGGCATTACAGTAGGGAGCTGAGAGAACACCAGGTTAACAGTGACTTGGTGGCATTAAAGTAGGGAGCTGAGAGAACACCAGGTTAACAGTGACTTGGTGGCATTACAGTAGGGAGCTGAGAGAACACCAGGTTAACAGTGACTTGGTGGCATTACAGTAGGGAGCTGAGAGAACACCAGGTTAACAGTGACTTGGTGGCATTACAGTAGGGAGCTGAGAGAACACCAGGTTAACAGTGTCTTGGTGGCATTACAGTAGGGAGCTGAGAGAACACCAGGTGGCAGTAACATAAACAACAGCATGGTGTTGGCTGTCAAATATTGTCATCCTTTAGACAGAGGTCCTTTACATTTACATTTTAGTCATTTAGCAGACGCTCTTATCCAGAGCAACTTACAGTTAGTGAGTGCATACATTATTTATTTTTTCATACTGGCCCCCCGTGGGAATCGAACCCACAACCCTGGCGTTGCAAGCACCGTGCTCTACCAACTGAGCTAAACGGGCCACATTTCTCTGGAGAACACCAGCTCAATACACCGTTCTCTAGTAAGCCTGTCAGTAAAACTACTTCATCCAATCACAATGTACATCTTTGTGATCGTGATATGTAATCATAGAACAAACAATTTCTATGGAGGATGAAGGCCAGCTCAATACTCTGTTCCATTACATTTACATTTTAGTCATTTAGCAGACGCTCTTATCCAGAGCGATTTACAGTAGTGAGTGCATACATTTTCATACTAGTCCCCCGTGGGAATCGAACCCACAACCCTGGCACTGCAACCGCCATGCTCTACCAACTGAGCTACACGGGACCATTGTCACCCCCTGGTTAAATAATTTGTCTGTAAAGTTACTTTAAAAAAGGCCATTCCATTATTTATCAGACTGGTCCTTCGAGTCGTACTCCTTCATATCGCACTCTAGTCTCTCTGGTTAAATAACATGTCTGTGGAGCTTCTGTAACTCTTTCTAATTGCACTACTCGTCACTATGATAATAACACAGTCATATATGACACTGGGATGCTTGTATCATGTCTGTAGAGACACTGACCTCTACTGAACTGGGATGCTTGTATCAAGTCTGTAGAGACACTGACCTCTACTGAACTGGGATGCTTGTATCACGTCTGTAGAGACACTGACCTCCATTGAACTGGGATGCTTGTATCATGTCTGTAGAGACACTGACCTCCATTGAACTGGGATGCTTGTATCATGTCTGTAGAGACACTGAACTCCATTGAACTGGGATGCTTGTATCACGTCTGTAGAGACACTGACCTCCATTGAACTGGGATGCTTGTATCACGTCTGTAGAGACACTGACCTCCATTGAACTGGGATGCTTGTTTCACGTCTGTAGAGATACTGACCTCCATTGAACTGGGATGCTTGTATCATGTCTGTAGAGACACTGACCTCCATTGAACTGGGATGCTTGTATCATGTCTGTAGAGACACTGACCTCCATTGAACTGGGATGCTTGTATCATGTCTGTAGAGACACTGAACTCCATTGAACTGGGATGCTTGTATCAAGTCTGTAGAGACACTGACCTCCATTGAACTGGGATGCTTGTTTCACGTCTGTAGAGACACTGACCTCCATTGCACAGCCGGCTGCCCATCATAATCATTTATGTGATCAATATAAGAATGATAATAATAAGACACAAAGTGATTTACAGTAAAGTGAGCATATACAGTAAGACCAGTACGATAAGATACTGTAAAATTTACAGTATGTGAAACCTCATCACTTCAATAACGCTATGCATGCACACAATATAATAATAATAATAATAATACGCCATTTAGCAGACGCTTTTATCCAAAGCGACTTACAGTCATGCGTGCATACATTGAGTCCCTGGGATCAAACCCACTACCCTGGCGTTACAAGCGCCGTGCTCTACCAATTGAGCTACAGAGGACCACCCTTAAATCATATATACTAGGAAAGCACAGCTCTATGTATGAATGGACTATTTTGACATGGTGATGACGACTGAGGCTGTGTCCCGAATGGCATCCTATCCCCTAGCCCTACGCGGGTCAAAAGTAGTACTCTGGTCAAAAGTAGTGCACTATATAGAAAATAGGGTGCAATTTGCGACGCAGACTGAGAGTGAATTCGACTTGAATCTGTGTCGGGGAATGGCACTTACTATAGATGGATAGGTTTGTCTGCATAATTTATTCAATTTAATAATGCTGAATGTTGAATTATGGTGGCCTATTCACAACTTTGGTCTCTTAGTGACCGCTTCAATCGCCGCTTTGATTCAATTAGACAATTATCTAGAAATTAAATCTGTGGCCGCACTGACACGACTCCCTCCAGGGCTGCCTCATCTCCTTGTTCGGGCACCTGGTTCATATCCCCTCATCAGACTCTGTATAATTATTCCCTCTGCTCCCCCATGTCTTTGTGTGTTATTGTTCAATGTGGAGGTGTCGCTAGCTCGTGTTGAGCATTATGTTACTTTTATCGCCGGGATATTCACGTGTGTTTTGTTTTCCCAGTACGCATTTAAGTCGCACTGTATTGGCCAAATAAACCCTTTTCTTTGATTGACACCTCCTGTGCCTGGCTCCGTCCTACTCACCTTGTTACAGAATAACACACCCAAACAGCATGGAGTCTGAAGGAGCGGGGAATATACCTGGAGCCATTGAGCGGGTCTGTTAGCCAGCTTGGGCGAAGCGATGGATCGGGTTCTCCAGGCCGTCCAGCGCCTGGAGAGGAGAGGATCCGACCCTGCGGAACCAGCTGTGCGACCGGATCCAGTAATCCACACACCAGCAACCAGGGGTATTCACCTGCCTCTACCGAGGGAATACGACGGGAAAGCTCCCTGCTGCCAGAGTTTCCTCCTGCAGCTGGACCTCTACTTCAACACCATCAGCCCTGCTCCATCGGAGCGGTAGAAGGTGTCCGCCCTCGTCTCCTGCCTCTCGGGGAAAGCCCTGGAGTGGGCCAACGCGGTCTGGAGTGAAGGAGGAGATGCGTTGGACAGCTACGGAGAGTTTGCTCGCCTCTTCCGTGCAGTCTTTGATCATCCCCCCGAAGGAAGAGAGGCGGGCGAGCGTCTGTTCCATCTGAGGCAGGGGACGAGGACCGTGCAAGACTTTGCCCTGGAGTTTAGAACCCTAGCGGCTGGGTCCTCGTGGAACGAGCGGTCCCTCATTGACCATTTCCGATGCAGCCTGCGTGAGGACGTCCGAAGGGAGCTAGCCTGCCGGGATACCACTCTGACCTTCGACCAACTGGTGGACATGGTTATCCGGTTGGACAACCTGCTGGCTTCGAGAGGACATCCTGGAAAGGGGCCTGCCCGTTTCACCCCCCCTCACCCCGGCTCACGTTCCGATGTAGCTGGGTGGTGCAGTGTTCCGGGAGAACAGAGGACGACAGCTCCAGTGTCACTCTTGTGGCAGAAGAGGAGATTCTGCTGCATGATGTCGTCAGAGTTCTTCTGGTTCTGGAGGCGGCAGGCAGGGCACTCTCGCGTCACCCCAGGTAGCACAAACCCACACTCGTTCAGAGCCCTCTGCTGCGCATTTAACCCTCCACATCAACTTCCCTGATTACACGGTAGTTCCCCAGTTTAAGGCGCTGGTAGATTCAGGCGCAGCTGGGAACTTTATGGACAGGTCTTTAGCCTTTAGTCTACGTATTACATTGGTTCCCCTGTCTATTCCATTGCCCGTCAAAGGACTTGACAATCGACCATTAGGGTCAGGTTTTGTTAGGGAGGTTAACGCACCAGTCACTATGATTGCGCAGGAGGCCCATAATGAGCAAATCACGTTTCATATTATTGAGTCCCTTGATTTCCCTGTTGTGTTGGGCCTTCCCTGGCTAGCACTACATGACCCCACCTTTTCATGGCCGTAGAGGGCTCTCATGGGGTGGTCGCGAGAGTGTCAGGGTAGGTGTCTAGCTGTTTCCGGTGGAAAGTCCAGACAATGCCTCCACCGTGCTCATCCCCCCCCCCCCTCCCTCCCTCGGGAGTGCGTACAACCTGGTGCCTGTCCGGGAAGGGGACGAATGGAAGACAGCATTTAGCACCACCACGGGGAATTATGAATACCTGGTGATGCCGTACGGGTTGATGAATGCTCCATCAGTCTTCCAGTCCTTTGTGAACGAGGTGTTTCGGGACATGCTTGGTCGCTGTGTGGTGGTCTACATCGATGACATCCTGGTGTATTCCACTACGCGCGCCGAGCATGTGTCCCTGGTTCACAGAGTGCTTGTGCGACTGTTGGAGCATGACCTGTATGCCAAGGTAGAAAAATGTCTGTTCTTCCAACAATTCGTCTCCTTCCTCGGATACCACATCACCACCTCGGGTGTGGAGATGGAGGGAGACCGCATTTCAGCCGTGCATAATTGGCCGACTCCAACCACGGTTAAGGAGGTGCAGCGCTTCATTGGCTTTGCTAATTACTATCAGAGGTTTATCCGGGGCTTTGGCAAGGTCGCAGCCCCATCACCTCTATGTTGAAGGGTGGGCCGTCCTGGCTCCGCTGGTCTGCTGAGGCTGACAGTGCTTTCAGTACCCTGAGGGCTCTGTTCACCTCAGCCCCGGTACTGGTCCATCCCAATCCCTCATTGCCGTCCGTAGTGGAGGTGGACGCGTCCGAGGTAGGGGTAGGCGCTGTCCTATCCCAACGCTCGGGCACGCCACCAATGCTCCGCCCCTGTGCCGCCTTCTCTAAGAAGCTCAGCCCGGCAGAGCAGAACTATGATGTTGGTGATCGGGAGCTGTTGGCTGTTGTCAGAGCCCTGACAGCGTGGAGGCACTGGCTCGAGGGGGCTAAACACTCTTTCCTCGTCTGGACTGACCACCGTAACCTGGAGTACATCCGGACAGCGAGGAGGCTGAACCCTCGCCAGGCCAGGTGGGCCTTGTTGTTCACCTGGTTTGATTTCACGCTGTCCTATATACCAGGCACTAAGATTGTGAAGGCAGACGCACTGCCACGGCTGTATGACACAGAAGAGAGGCGGCCCATTGATAACCCCCCATACTCCCGGCCTCCTGTATTGTGGCGCCGGTGGTGTGGGCGGTGGACACGGACATAGAGCGGGCGTTACGCACAGAGCCATCTCCACCTCAGTGCCCAGCTGGGCTTCGGTACGTGCCGTCTAGTGTCTGTGATCGTCTTATCTATTGGGCACACACGTCCCCCTCCTCTGGTCACCCAGGCATCGGTCGTACAGTGCGCTGCCTTACCCGGAAGTACTGGTGGCCTACCTTGGCTAAGGACTTGAGGGTGTATGTCTCCTCCTGCTCGGTGTGCGCCCAGAGTAAGGCATCTAGGCACCTTCCAGCGGGTAAGTTACATCCCTTACAGTTCCACAACGGCCATGGTCCTACTTATCGATCGATTATCGATCCTCTCTCAGGTTAACACCACCATCCTGGTCGTTGTGAACCACTTTTCTAAAGCCTGCTGCCTCCTTCCTCTGCCCGCTCTCCCCCCGGCCCTGCAAACTGCGGAAGCCCTTTTTACTCACGTCTTCCGGCACTACGGGGTGCCAGAGGACACAGTGTCTGACCGGGGTCCCCAGTTTACGTCTAGGGTCTGGAAGGCATTCATGGAATGTCTGGGGGTCATGGTCAGCCTGACCTCTGGGTTTCACCCCGAATCTAAATGGGCAGGTGGAATGGGTGAATCAGGATGTGGGTAGGTTTCTGCGGTCCTACTGCCAGGAATGGCCGGGGGAGTGGTTGGTGTTCTTGCCATGGGCCGAATATGCCCAGAACTCTCTCCGCCACTCCTCCACTAACATGTTTTAGGGTATCAGCCGGTCCTTGCACCGTGGCACCAGAGCCAGACCGAAGCTCCTGCGGTGGACGACTGGTTTTGGCGCACGGAGGAGATGTGGAACGCCACCCATGTCCACCTCCAGTGTGCCGTGCGTTGCCACATGTCCAACGCTGACCGCCACCGTAGTGAGGCCCCAGTCTTGTACCGGGTGATCGGGTCTGGCTCTCGACCCAGAACCTGCCCCTCCGCCTGCCCTGCCAGAAGCTGGACCCGCGGTTTGTGGGGCTGTTCAAAGTCCTGAGGAGAGTGAACGACGTTACGTATAGGTTGCTGCTCCCTCCTGATTACCGTATTAACCCCTCGTTTCACGTGTCTCTCCTCAGGCCGGTGGTGGCTGGTCCGCTTCAGGAGTCTGAGGTGCGGGGGCCCCGGCGTACTCTGTCCGTTCCATCCTGGATTTGAGGCGTCGGGCGGGGGGCCTTCAGTACCTTGTGGAGTGGGAGGCGTACGGTCCGGAGGAGCTGTCCTGGGTCCCTGCCTCATCTCCTTGTTCGGGCAGGCTTCGGCGTTCGTCGTCACCGGCCTTCTAGCCACTGCCGCTCCTCTTTTCATCATTCCATTAGTTTTGTCTTGTTTTTCACACACACCTGGTACATATCCCCTCATCAGTCTCTGTATAATTATTCCCTCTGCTCCCCCATGTCTTTTTGTGTTATTGTTCCATGTGGAGGTGTCGCTAGCTCGTGTTTTGAGCATTATGTTACTTTGATCGCCGGGATATTCACCCGTGTGTTTTGTTTTGCCAGTACGCATTTAAGTCTCACTGTATTTGGTTTACACATTGCTGTGGACTGCTGTATTGGCCAAATAAACCCTTTTCTTTGATTCACACCTCCTGCGCCTGGCTCCGTCCTACTCACCTTGTTACACACACATAGAAAACAAGTATTTAGAAAGGAAATTGTAATATCTCATAAATAACTAGCAATAAAGTATGTTGTTCCACATCTGTCAGATAAATTGATTCAATCTCAGACTTGACAAAGCTCACAGACCAACAAGTGTATCAGATCTATGTCTGTATGTATATTGTCAATGTTATTCTTTCTTTCTTTTTTTTTTTTTTTTTACGTACATTTTTTTTTTATACAAAAAAGTGTTTCAGATCTTACAGAACAATATAATTATAATATAATGATAGAATAGGCATAGCACATTCTTAAATTATAACCCATGAACATTAAACATTGGACAATCTAGTGCACAAGTTGATTCTGATTTTAAAAACAGAAAACTCATCCTATGAAATTAAAGTACGACAGTTAGTGCAGTAGCCTGCTCCCAGATCTGTTTGTGTTGTCTTACCAACTCCTATTGTAGTTTTTTGGCTTGACAATGACCATAGGAGTTAGCAATATTGCACTAACAGACCATAGGAGTTAGCAATATTGCACTAACAGACCATAGGAGTTAGCAATATTACACAAACAGACCATAGGAGTTAGCAATATTACACAAACAGACCATAGGAGTTAGCAATATTACACAAACAGACCATAGGAGTTAGCAATATTACACAAACAGACCATAGTGTCACGCCCTGACTCAGGGGACGTTGATTTGTTGAGTCAGGGTGTGTATATTCCGTGTTATGTTGTGTTTTTCTAGGTTTAGTTCTAGATCGTTTAGATCTATGTTGGCCAGGGTGGTTCCCAATCAGAGGCAGCTGTAGCTCGTTGTCTCTGATTGGGGACATACTTAGGCAGCCTGTTGGCACCAGTTAGTTTGTGGGATCTTGTTCCGTATAGGTTTGTTTTGTGTAACCTTAAGACTTCACGTATCGTTTGTTTGTTGTTTTGTCGTGTTCAGTACTTCAATAAATATGTACGCTTATCACGCTGCGCCTTGGTTGGACCAATCTTTAAACGATTGTGACACATAGGAGTTAGCAATACTGTACAAACAGACCATAGGAGTTAGCAATACTGTACAAACAGACCATAGGAGTTAGCAATACTGTACAAACAGACCATAGGAGTTAGCAATACTGTACAAACAGACCATAGGAGTTAGCAATACTGTACAAACAGACCATAGGAGTTAGCAATACTGTACAAACAGACCATAGGAGTTAGCAATACTGTACAAACAGACCATAGGAGTTAGCAATACTGTACAAACAGACCATAGGAGTTAGCAATACTGTACAAACAGACCATAGGAGTTAGCAATACTGTACAAACAGACCATAGGAGTTAGCAATACTGTACAAACAGACCATAGGAGTTAGCAATACTGTACAAACAGACCATAGGAGTTAGCAATACTGTACAAACAGACCATAGGAGTTAGCAATACTGTACAAACAGACCATAGGAGTTAGCAATACTGTACAAACAGACCATAGGAGTTAGCAATACTGTACAAACAGACCATAGGAGTTAGCAATACTGTACAAACAGACCATAGGAGTTAGCAATACTGTACAAACAGACCATAGGAGTTAGCAATACTGTACAAACAGACCATAGGAGTTAGCAATACTGTACAAACAGACCATAGGAGTTAGCAATACTGTACAAACAGACCATAGGAGTTAGCAATACTGTACAAACAGACCATAGGAGTTAGCAATACTGTACAAACAGACCATAGGAGTTAGCAATACTGTACAAACAGACCATAGGAGTTAGCAATACTGTACAAACAGACCATAGGAGTTAGCAATACTGTACAAACAGACCATAGGAGTTAGCAATACTGTACAAACAGACCATAGGAGTTAGCAATACTGTACAAACAGACCATAGGAGTTAGCAATATTGCAGATCTAGGGCCAGGCTAGTTGGTCTATGTATGTGTGTGGAGGTCACCCAATGAAATGATGACCCGTCAGCT